TATAGCTACTTAATAACGCATATACGTAGCGAAAAATAATCCTTTACGTTGAAAATCATAAATAAAAAGCAAAGCGTTTTGAGATCGTAGAAATTACTATATATATGTCTGAATAGATACCAAATGAAAGTATGTCATTCAATTATCAAGAGTCATGCAGATATTTCTATAGATTTTTCGGTCATATATTTTGCATAATTCTAATGTCCAACATTAAAATAAACTCTTTATTAATTATAGCTGATTAAAATAAACACAATGTATTTGTATCTAACGCATGTTGGATCACAAAAGATTCTCTGCTTTTCAGATTTAAAAACTAAAATGAATAAACAAATAAAAATAAACTTCGTAATAATGAATGAATTAACTAATCCTTGATTTGTTACGTAATCTCAAATCCATTTATTTCAATTCATTAATCTCAATCAATTTATTTACCTGTCTACCAAAAAAATAATTTTGCTTTGTTTTATTGGGGGTACTGAGTACTATTGGTTAGTTACACGCCTTGAGCTATAGACAACCATTTACAATTTGGCACGATGCCCCAATCAATAACGCTTTTCTAATGTTTCCCAACAAGCAGTTAGACGCCAGAGTGACCGAACGCCCATTAGATGTGAGTGAACCTTTTCTGGTTTCTTTGTAAGTGCTGCAATTCGCCTTGTTGGCCTTTATGAACGTTAAATTGATATATGCAAGAGAATGCGGAGATATCTTGAACATCTAATGTATTTTTTATATATGCGCAAGCTATTCAAATTACTCATACTAATTATATTTGCTTTATTCGAAAATGTCACAAAATCAAGAAAATAAGATCCAAGTTAAATCATTTCTTATTGCGGTATTCTCTTTTAAATTTTCCTGAGGTCAGAAAACAAAACGATACAACGATCTACAAACAATATTCCATTCCAAAAATAATAAATACATACACAGTTTTCTTCTTCCTCTTCTTTGAACTTAATAATATACAGTCGACTTGATTCAAAAATGCTAAAATGTTGTAAAGCAAGCAACAACAAAATTGAAAAAAAAAAAAAAAAAAAAAAAAAAAAAACAATAATATAGCAAAAGCGTAGTATTAATGTATAAAATAAATAAGACGTATTGTGTCTACTTACATGCTGCACAAAATTGTTATTGGCGCTGTTTAGCATAATTATTTCCAATTCAAATATCTCGTACTTTTTTTACAACTTTTTATGTGCTTTGTTATACCTTCAGTATTCGATGTGGGTTGTAAAGCTGATATTTTATAAGGGCAAACAATCCACTCTGAAGTTGTACATTTGGCTTTCCATTAATATATGTATTTATTTATAGGATGGAATATATTCTCTCTTAAGGTATGCATATGTGTACTTAGGGTACACACGATGTCTATGTTACGCGAAAATCTACTCATGTAAATTTATGAAAAAAGGTGACACTAAAATGAAGCTACAAAGTATTTAGAAGTTGGAAAACTAAATATACATATGTGTAAACTCACAATGCATTTCTGTATATATATGTTAATTTTTTTTTTTGCGGTGCATGAATTTTTTGTGTATGATAGTTACTTTGTGATTGGGTTAATATTTATGTTTATATATATTTATGGTCATATGCAGACTACTTTAAATACACACAAATCTGTATTTGTATTTTATTTCAAACCTAACACTAAGTCAGAAGACTTTTGATTTCCTGCGTATTTGTATGCACCACATACATATATACCCGCATGTATGTATGTAGTTACATGTATGCATTCATACGTAACTTCAATGCGTAGAGCACAGCAAAAAATTTGAAGGGTAGCGTACGAAAAAGAGAGCGACAGCATTGCCTCTCACAAGCTCACGTGGAGAGAGACACACTGGCACAGCTCCATTATGCGGAAGTCCTCACTAATAGAAGAGTACGTAGCCGCAAGCTGGTCGATAGACACATCCACTTATGTATACACTTACAAACGTTTGTATCTATGTCTGCGTTCTATTTTCCAGATCATAATATATACAGAGTCTCATAACTACTAACTACTATTGATAATCCATTAAAGCTATTATCATATCCCGATGGACCTTCTGAAAGCTATTTATTATAATTTATATTTTCCAATAAGCTATCGATGATTTATAAACATACATATACAAACATACTTTATTCAGAACGGCATTAACTTGCATTACTATTCATGCGCATATAATTATAACAATTTTACGGTATATCTAATATATATATACACTTATAATTTCAAACTATATATGCATATGTATATATATAGCAGATGTAAGCCATTTCCCTATATGCGCATGTAAATGCTTTTGTTGATACTTTTCCTCGATAGTGCAAATGTACATTCATAGGCACATGTTCGTGTATGTATGCACATGTACATTTTCATGCATGCATATGTATATTTATATTGATATTTGGTTGTATGTGAAGTAGTTACATTTCTTCTGTTGCTATTGCCTACCTTACTTGGTATTTTGTCGAAGCTCTAATTATTGATTTTTACGCCACTTTTGCTCTTTATTTTTCCCATTTTACTAGAAATTGCACACCACAAAAATATGACAAAAAATTGCACACACCTTAACCACTATCTATGTAACTCGATGGTATTTGTCGCGGAGTGCAACGCACTATATTTTTATGGAAGTCTTTAATTATTTACTTCGTACCGTAACCGCTTGCTAGCTTTCAAAGAACAAGACCGACTTCAATTCAATTAAGACTTTTTGTTTTAGTTTTTATGATGATATAAAACGCACCCAGGGATGTCTAAGACATATCAGCTATCGATTGAATTTGTTATACGATGATTTGTTCGTTGTTACTGTACGATGTTTCCATTGCTATTATCGATAGCTAGATATCGGGAATATGTCGTGTGCATGCCACCTGTTAAAAGACACATTAGGTTGCGCCAGTGTCTCTGGTTAGTGTCTCTGGTTAGTGGTTGCGCAAAGAGCAGTCCCGTTACCTTTGTGACGGCACATTTTCAGATTGTGCTCTGTTATCCTAACTGAAGCTTGGCGGACTGAAACTCAGCAGAGATTCACCAAGTGATCCAAAACAATCAAAATGAAGTATGTATAAGCAAATATCAAAAGAAAATAGCCGCCAAACTCGCATTATTTAATCTACTAGCTTTAAGACAAATAACAGTGTCAAAGTTGCTTGATTTTCATACAAATGTACACGCGCGCGCAACATTTTCTGAAATAATGACGTTTCCCTGTCAAATCAGCTGTTCGCTTTGCATAACCTACTATCACTCAATCGTGGGGCATACCATATGACATGGTAGTACAATGAATTTGAATTCATTATGCTATAAGTAAAATATAATATTTTATAATTAAATGTCTTATAATGGCCCAAAATAAACATACAAAATATATTTAAAAAAAAAACATTCCACAGCTTATTTCAATATGTGTTATTATATTCAATAAATTACAAGTTTCTGATAGCAGATGGAAAAAAAAAAAAAAACACTTTTAATGGATTCACTAGGTTGCACCGCAACCACTTTTCATGTTAACTAACAGCTCGGTTGTAGCGTCATATATTCGGACTATGCTCTGTTACCCATGCTGAAGTTTGGCGGGAATTTAAACAGAACAAAGGCTTGGCAAGCAGAACAAAATATTTCAGCTTATAGCCATTAGTCATTACACCTTATAATTCATGGGTATACACGAGTATATGTTCGTGCTCTACTATAGTACTTTCTAGTAAATTGCATGGAACTTTTAATAAATTAATTATAGCTCCTCATATATCAAGCGGAAAATTGGCGAAAATCAAAATTATTTTTCGATTATGAGGATAAAAATAGAAGGGGATTACTTATTTTTAACGACGAACGCTATTTATTTATATTTTAGCTTAATTACAGGTAATATGAAAAAATTCCAATTTGGGAATACACACGTCTTGCGTGTAGATTCGCATTAGGTGTTGACTTCTAATACACTGAACCTATTGAAATTTTGTCATTTTCATTGCAATTGGCGCCATCTGTTGGCGTGTGACCAGCACCAAGAACAACGCTTGCCTTAGCAGCAGCACTGTCACTGTTATTAACAGCAACAGCAGCTGTAGTGGTTTTACGCCACTAACCATAGGCACGAACCACTAACCATATAACACATAGACCGTACACGCAGTGTACAGCTTTTTGCACACTTTTTTGTCGTGCATTGCGACCCACACAACTTCGTATATGCTCAGCTCCTTACTTTTAAGTTCGGGCTACGAAAATATACGAAAGCACAGCCATTTCGTTTGATGCGCTCGACCGAAATGGACGACTATTGAACAAAATATTCTACTATTCTTAATTTAGTTTCTTAGTCTCTTTCTCTCTCTGCCTCTCTCTCTCTATATATACATATATTTGAGAGCTGCATGGCCGCACTCATATCCAGTGTTACCAATTTTTGTTGAGCGAAAAAGCTGTTTTTAGTGGGAAGATACTTTAAAAAAAGCCGAAATTTTGTGAAAAAAAATCGGAAAAAAGCTGATGTTTTTATACCCTGAACCCATTTTCAATGGGAAGTCAGGGTATAATGGTTTTGTTGAAATGTATGTATATATATTCTTGATCAGGGCGACGAGCTGAGTTGATTTGGCCCTGCCCGTCTGTCTGTCCGTCTGTCCGTCTGTCCGTATGTATGAACGCGTCGATTTCAGAAGATATAAGAGCTAGAGACTTAAAATTTTTTTTAAAATGTCCGTAATTAAATCAAGTTTATCATTAAAAATCGATAACTCATCCCGATCTTTTTTTATCGATAAAAAACCTTATCGAAAACCAGTTATAAAATTATATCTTCTACACCTTTATTGCTAGAGTCTCCAAATTTTTAATGTATGCTTATATGCAATTTATACAATTTCGGTTTTTGTTANAATTGTTAAACTGATCCAGTATTGTGATAGTCTAAAGCTTTATTATTTTTGGAGAGAGTTAACATTGATTTTCTTTTCATTTCATTTTAGAATATTGTGGACGGTACAAACTTTGAGACGGAAATTGCTGCTAGGTGCTAAGTCGCTTGAAACACAGGTTAGAACATATTTTGATCAAATTAATTAATTTTTAGTCAACTAATATGATGACCACTTTGATAGGGACAACTGATGTCTATGAATGATTTATCAATTGTTAAACTGATCCAGTATTGTGATAGTCTAAAGCTTTATTATTTTTTGAGAGAGTTAACATTGATTTTCTTTTCATTTTATTTTAGAATATGGTGGACGGTACAAACTTTGAGACGGAAATTGCTGCTAGGTGCTAATTCACTTGAAACACAGGTTAGAGCATATTTTGTTCAAATTAATTAATTTTTAGTCAACTAATATGATGACCATATTGATAGGGACAACTGATGTCTATGAATGATTTATCAATTGTTAAACTGATCCAGTATTGTGATAGTCTAAAGGTTTAATTTGAGTTTACAACAGCTAACACTAATTGTCTTTTTAATTTATTTTAGAGAATGTTACACAGCTACACTTGAGGGAAGTTACTCCCAGATGATAAATGGCTTGAAACGCAGGTTAGAACATATTTTGATTATATGAATTTTTAGTCCACTAATTTGATGACCACGATGATAGGGACAACTGATGTCTATGAATGATTTATCAATTATTGAACTGATTCACTAGTAGGATAATCAATGCAATGCTTAACAACTTTTTTTTTTATTTTAGAGAATGGTAGATGCTATAAACGGAAAGAAAGAAGTCACTCCCATATCACGTAGAAGTTTTATAAATTTTTTATCATCCTACTTAACTGTAAACTAAGCATCTGTTTCTAACAATCAATCCTATTTGAATTACCTCATTTATGAAGAAAAATAGAAAAAGGGATATGCCTCAGGTAACTATATTTTGTATTAAATATGCAATTTTTCTTACAAAATGGAATAAGTAGTATCATATTCAGTGATATATTTGTAGTTGATAATAAAACTAGACAATTAAAAATAAATTTGAAAGAAAAATCTATATATTTAAAAATGCGTCGTTTAATTTTAGCCAACAAATACTAGCTCCTTTCTATTTGTTGACTACACTAAATTCTTACATAAAAAACTGCATTGAACTGCTATGATTTTCGAGTAGAAAGAAATAGAAAGTCCTGGCGATCATGGTCCCTGACTTGTTGTTGTTGATCAGGCCAGAGTAATTTCCAAGTAAATAAATGGGTAACATTTATAACAAGTAAGAAGGCTCCAGTCGAGACTGCTCGACTGGGAGATACTCTGAACACTGTAAGCTGATATTCTACTCATTCTGCACCTCTTTTATGCAGACATGCATCCACACGCACGTATAATCACGCGCTCTGCTGACTGCACAGTGAGCAGCGACAGCGCTTAATTATGAGAATTTATTAGTTGAATAATTTCTCTTGTAGTAAAACTATCTTTATGAAACTTTTAGAGCGTGATCATATGTTTAAATGTTTTTAAATTCTAAAATCTCTAGTACTTGAAATACGTTTTTTAAAAATTGGGGGCGAAGGGGCGTGATATCCAAAATCTGTAATTTACAAAATATTTGTATCCATTAACTTTATATACAACTCAAATTTGAAGTCTTCAGGTTTAAAAGTGTTCAAATTAGGCTGAAAAAACAAAGTCGATTTTTCGATTATTCTCGATAAACAAATGTTATCGGACGAGTTATCGAAAAAATAAGATAAACTTGTATACATGAGTATGCATATGAAATTTCAGCTCTCTAGCTCTTATATCTTCTGAGATCGGCTTGCTCATACGGACGGACGGACAGACAGACAGGGCTATATCGAGTCAGCTCATCGTCCTGATCATGAATATATATGCTTTATGGGGTCTGCGATGATTCCTTCTACCTGTAACATACTTTTCACAAAACCATTATACCCTAATTCCCCATTTTCAATGGGTTCAGGGTACAAAAGAAAGTAACCATAAAAGCCTATAATGTGGTATTTTTTAAATACCATAGAATTCGATAATTAAATTTCTATTAAAAATAGGATCACTAACCACTCTGGCTAGTGATAGGACTGAAATACCAGCATTAAAACAATTTACTTAAAAAAAACGACATTTGTTTAGTTAAGGGAATAAATACTAATAGTATTTAATAAATTTGGCGGCATTATGTACATACATATTTTAAATACTGAACAAATTCAATCGCTGTAGTCCCTCAGCTGATACAATCAGCTGTTTCATTTTGTTCTCTGTTTAGCATTGAATGCATGATGCATGTCTGAAAACTGTTTAAAGTGAATACGAAACTGGCCAAATCAATGACACTCCGCATGATCTAATAGAAAACAGCAACTTTCCAAATATGTTGCCAAATAAGTCTGATTCACGCCGTCGCTTGAATGCAACTGGGTTGTCGACTGGTGATTACAACAAGGTTAGCACCGACACCACCGAGACAGATGGCTTTGTGAATGAACAATGGGTAGCGCCGAATGTGGAGGAACCGATACCATGGAAGACCATTGCAATCATTCTTATATTGTTCGTCGGTGGAACTGTATGCATTTCGATATATTGTATAATGAAGAATATATTCTAAAAGCATTTTTCTTTATTTAGATATGCATATGCTGTGCAACCTTAGATTGGCTAGCAGACGTAAATCAGGATAGGTCGGATCGCATCGGGGCACTGACGATCATAGGCGCATTGACTATAATTCCCGGCGGATATTATCTCTACGTTTTATTGTGTATTTTAATGCATCGCACTGGCTACACAATGGACGATATACGTCGACTGGGGTAGAGAAAAAATTTCCACGAAAGTGTGTTAATTATTGTATTGCATTCATTTTATATTTTTATATTTTACTATTTGTAAACATATTTGTTTTCTACCTTTCATTTATTTATTGTATAAAAATATTGTAAATACATACATGTTATAAAATTTTTTGTTGTGGTTGATGCTCTCAGGTTAAGAGTTTAGTAAGCGAAACATTAACTACCTAACATTTCATTTTGTTGTTTCAAAGAATATATATATATANGACCATATTAGCGATGTGATCAAGCATGCGTTTCCCGATAGTGCCATTGCGCAAGGGTTTTACTGCAAACGCACCAAAACAGCTTCGCTTACGTACAATGTACTGGCACCTGTGATGAAGGAGCAACTGATCTCTAGCATGAAACGGTGCGTTTCTGCAGCGGGAAGGCCTGTGTTCTCCATAATCATTGATGAATCGACTGATGTTTCGTGTACAAAGGTCTTGGCGTGTGCTGTTATGTATTTCGACAAGGAAGCGCAAACAAAATTCTTGTTCACCATTGACTTAGGCAGTCGACCTTTTTGCAGCACTCAGCGATGGACTCAAACTTAATGGCTTTGACATCAATAATATAATTGGATTTGCTGCAGACACAACTAATGTGACAACTATGGTGAGCGCAATAGCATTATGACGAAGATACGAGACGTCAACAAATCATGTTTTTTTGTAAAAATGTGTTTGCCATTCGTCTGCTCTTGCTGCAAGCTATGCTTGCAAGCAACTGCCTCGAAACTTAGAGCAAACCATTAAAGAGCTATATAACTACTTTTCAAAAAGTTCAAAGTGTCGACGAAAATTTAAAGAGTTTCAAACTTTCTTAGATTCCCCTGCACACAATATACTTAACCACTACGACATACGTTGGCTATCGTTGCATTCTTGTGTGGCACGCATACTAGAACAGTGGGATGCCCTCATTGCATTCTTTCAAGAAGAATATGAAGTTGATAACAATTTATCAGCTGAGTATATTCTATCTAATTTAAAAAATCCAACTGTTAAACTTTATCTTTTATTTTTGGATTATATACTTGCTTTAGTGAATAAATTCAATATCATATTCCAGTCTAGTCGATCTGTTGTACATCATTTCTATAAAACTATGTCCGAATTTTACAAAAGTTTATTAGCTTGTTATATGCAGCAGATGTATATAGATAATACAGATTTAAATGCCATAGAGCCAACAAACACATTTTATTTTGTACATATAAAAGACATGTATCTCGGAATAAAAGTGGCAACTGAACTTTCAACAAATAGCTTGGACAAAGAACATAAATTGGATTTTTTGAAACGTAGCCAGTTATTTTTTATCGAGCTATGCGTACAACTAAAAAAAAGATTGCCATTACAAGATAACTTTCTGAAAATGTTAAGTTTTTTGGATCCAAATGATTTTAATAATCAAAATTGTCAATCGTTGCTCAAGCTGTATGAACGCTTTCCCGATTTTGTCAATGATCCACAAATAATTGACAATGAGTATCGAACAATGAAAACTGACGACATGGTTAAAATGCTTTTGACTAAAATTCTCAATTGCGATACATTCTGGTACGAATTGAGTCAGTTAAAAGATATAAATAATTGCTATAAATATTCGAATATTTCGAAATTTGCTCAATCTATGTTAATTTTGCCCGTTTCTAATGCGTCGTGTGAACACATATTCTCTCAAATTAATTTAATCAAAACGGAAAATCGAAACCGCTTTAAAAATGTAAACATATCACATATATTACATGTAAAACAATCATTGCGCGAAAATGGGTGCAATAATTTTAAGCCCAATGAACAAATGTTATGTAAAGATTTCAACAAATTTAATTTAAGCTGCTCTGACGAAGAAGGCTAGTATTTACTATTTAATTATATTTATAATTAAATGTAATATTCTGATCTTAAGAGAAACTAACAAGACTGAACAAAGAAGTTCCTTTATTATTAGACTCATTCACGAATGTGAAATGAGTATATTGGTTTTGTGCAATGTCCGTCTTGCTGTCCGTCTGTCCGTCCGTCCGTATGAACGCAATCTATTTCGGCGCTATTGAAGCTAGAGACTTGAAATTTGGAACACAGACTCGTGTATATCTCCGATTTATAAAGTGTTAAAATTTTCCCGATCCGCCCACTAGGGGCGTGGCAAATCGGAAAATGCATTTTCCGATATACCAGAAATCATGTTTGTTGAAGAGCTAGAAAGCTGAAATTTGGTATGTAGGTCCGCGCCGATCACCCAAGATCACAAGCTATGGCGGATATATCTCCGCCCATTAGGGGCGTGGCAAATCGGATAAAACTGTATCTCCTAAAGTTATAAACCTAGAATGCTGAAATTTTGCA